TTGATGAGTGTAATTTGCACTCTTGGCACACCATACACTTGCTCAGACTCAGTCTAATATGCACTCCTCTCGTGTTTATCCTCCTGAGACACTTGATTTTGTTCACTTTGAAGTTTTTCCTGGTCTTTTAAACGTAAAGGGATTGCCTTCGTCTGTAATCACTATAGCAAATGTCTACTTTTTTTTTTTGAAGCTTTCGTGAATACATTAGCTACTTACATGCTCAATTATGGCATTTTACCTTTATTATTGCCAATTGTTCTCAAGTCTCTCTTATGTACTAAATGTTAAGTTTCATGAGTGCAAGGTAAGGCTATGTCTTATTCATCTTTGTGTTTTCCACAGCCTGTTGTTATTCACGTCAAATAGGTTTTCAATATGTATATATTTGCAAACTTGGATTTAATGGCTAAGCAGTACCTATGATGTATAGAGCTCTGGACCAGGTTTAACTGGTAGGATTAAAAAATATTAGTCACAGTTTCTGTTTGCTAGGAGATAGGAAACCAACATGTGCAGAACTGAAATAATTTTAGGAAAATTATAAAGTGAAATCGCTGGTGCAAATGGTGGCATAGAAATAGAATACATGAGTGGGGAAGCAGTGGACAGCTAAAGACTCATGTAAGTTGGCTAGGTTGAGGGATAGCACTTGAGCTGAGTTTGTTTCATTTATTTATTTATTTATTTAAAAATTTTATTTATTTATTTGAGACAGAGAGAATGAGATACAGAGAGCATGAGAGGGAGGAGGGTCAGAGGGAGAAGCAGACTCCCTGCTGAGCAGGGAGCCCGATGCGGGACTCGATCCCGGGACTCCAGGATCATTACCTGAGCCGAAGGCAGACGCTTAACCAACTGAGCCACCCAGGCGCCCTATTTATTTATTTTTAAGATTTTATTTATTTATTAGAGAGAGAGAGAGTACACAACAGCGGGCAGAGGGAGAAACAGGCTCCCCGCTGAGCAAGGAGCCCGATGTGGCCCTCGATCCCAGGAGCCTGGGATCATGACCTGAGCCGAAGGCAGACGCTTAACCGACTGAGCCACCCAGGCATCCCTTGAGCTGACTTTTAAAGGAACTGATGGGCATGGCTTAGTGAAGCGGACCAGAAATGTTTTCTTTTGCTGTCATCCTATTTTATATTTCATCATCTTTATCAGCATCATCAAAATCACCATTCTTGTCACTATTTTGTTATCAAAAAGCTGTCCACGAATTGTGCTCTGTTGACCTTTTCGCACCCACCTAGTGTAACTGGGGCTTCTCTGGTTTGGTAAGATGTTGTCTGTAGAAGTACTATACTTAGCATCTCATTGATGAAGTTACTTTTTCCTTTGATCCTGAGGATGGTGCATAAAGGACAAAGGGAAATGATAGAGGTGTTTTAATACTCTAGCATGTCATAGTATATCAACCACATGATGTAAACTATTGTTTTATGTATCATGACCTGAAGCTTAATGCCAGTTGCCACCATATTCTGGTGCCAAAAGGACTCATAGGCTTTTTCTGCTTTGGTATTATTTACTTAAATAATTATTTTTTTAAAAAGATTTTATTTATTTTTATTTTAGAGAGAGAGAGAGAGAGCATGCGAGTGGGGGGAGGGGCAGAGAAAGAGGGAGAGAGAGAGAGAATCTGAAGTAGACTCCACTCTGAGTGTGGAGCCCGACTACACAGGATTTGATCTCATGACCCTGAGATTGTGACCTGAGCTGAAATCAAGAGTCAGATGCTTAACTAATTGAGTCTTAGGCGCCCCTATTTAAATAATTCTGATTTGTAAGACTCCACGGAAGTTTTCACAGGTCTTGCTTTATGGAAACCTACTGAAGGGGATGTTGCCTAAATGACTGCTGGCCCTTATCATTACCTGGCAATGACTTGGCCTTCGCAGGTACCATGGACATCCCTGTCATTGCTGACAAATGGGAAGGGGCAGGTCATGGTGATCAGCTGTGCCACAGGCTGTCAATAGCAGGGGCAGACAGATTTTGGCAGCTCTAGTGATGAAAATTCAAAAGGAAAAAAATATTGAAAAATTTAAAGTGCCTAGTTGGTTGAATTGTGTCACAGAAATAATGGGAACATTTAGATCAGGTAGAAGCGGTTCCCAGAGACCTAGCTGCATTTAGAGGATTGGCCATCTCATTCTCCAAACGTCCCACAGCCTACCTTCTCCAAACTTGGCATGTGGTTCACTTACTAGGTGAAAGGCCAGGTGTGCCTGCTTTTGTGAGCATTCAGCATAAGAGAGAAGGCCAGCTCTCCTTAAGATTACAAACCACTAACATTTCCTTTCACTGGGATACTTCTTTCGAATGAGATAGTAAGTTGTTACATTGAACCAAATAGTGAATGGGAAGGTGCATTAGAAGCCATAATCTCCAGCAGCAATAACAGAAGGATATTTTATGTGTTATGACATGCTTCCAGCACTCCATTATATATGCGAATGCTCTCATTTTCATTATTTGAGGCAATTTCTGGCATTGGAATTTAGATCATACTTGCATTTGGTTTATAAAACAGATTTCCCATTATCATTTGATAGAGGTGTGAGAAATGGAAGAAGCATTGGCAAAAATGTTAAGCATGAACAAGGGGCAGTTATGGTGGGTGGGTGTGGTTACAGGAGTGGAAAGAGGGACATGATAGTAAGGCCTGCCCCGAGAATAAACATCATTCCATTGCTAGAATTTCTACTACCACAGGAGCAAATGTCAATGCCTCATTTCAGAGGAGCAGCTCTGGAGTACACTGATGTGCAAAATCATAGAGGAGAGAAAAGGAACTGTAAGGAAGTGCCTGTAAGCAAAATGATCATCATTAAGTGAATCTGGCACTTCCGTTTTGTCGTCCATGTAAATAATGTTAGAAATAGCTCTAACTTCAGGGGCTCAGTTGGTTAAGCGGCCAACTCTTGATTTCATCTGAGGTCATGATCTCAGGGTCCTGGGATCAAGCATTGGGCTCTGTGCTGGGTGTGGTGTGGAGCCTGCTTGCGGTCCTCTCTCTCCCTCTGCTCCTCCTTGCTCCCAACCTGCACTCTTTCTAAAAAAAAAAAAAGAAAGAAAGAAAAGAAAAAGAATAACTCTAACTTCAGACACTTACATTTCAGTCTATTCTCCATACTTAGGAACTGAGATTATACCTTGAGATATTTTTTGTTGAGTTTTTCTTTCCACCAACTTATTTCCCCTTAGTTAATCAGAGACTTCCTTATTGCTCCAAGTAGGAATATTATAAAAGGAATAAAAAGAACCAGAAAGTCAGTGTTCAGGGTGCCTGGGTGGCTTAGTCGGCTAAGCGTCTGCCTTTGGTTCAGGTCATGATCCCAGGGTCCTGGGATGGAGCCTCACATTGGGCTCCTTGCTCAGCAGGGAGCATTCTTCTCTCTCTGCCTGCCGCTCCCCCTGCTTATGCAGTCTCTCTCTTTCTCTTTCTCTCTCTGACAAATAAATAAATAGAATCTTAAAAAAAAGAGTCAGTATTGAGTTTCCTTGACTTTCAATATCGGGCACTGAGATTCAAAAGGGAAAGCCTAAAGCATGTGAGGAATGATTTACACCATGGAAATAGAATGAATGAGGAAGTAGAAAATGATGTTATGCTCGAGTAAGGGTCATCTCTACCTTTCCCCCTGGCGGGGAGCTGGAGGAATGACTCACAGTTACTTCAGGAGGTTTTGAATAAAGACTTGGCCAATGCTGGAAACCAAACCAATGCCCTGAAGACTACTGACTGCTGAGGGAGTCTTGCCTGCTGCCTGGATGAAGGAGCTCTGACAGTGGCCTTTCTTGTCCCTGAGGGTCCTTTTAAGATTACCTGTCTACATATTACTCTCTTGCCAATTTGCAGAAGGATTTCAAGCTGTGCCTAAACTGCCACATGTGGATAGATACCATCATACCCCCACCCCTTTAAATAACCCCTCACAAATTCCCAAGGTGAGTTATATGCCTAAGGGAATACAGCCAGTAAGTCTATTGCTAGGATTCACCCCAAACACACAGTTAGGATTCAAACTCAGACCATCTCATCCAAGGCATGGAGCTTTTAACCACCATGAATTACAGAGAGATCCAAGGAACTGAGTCATAAGAACTGTCATCAATGGAGGACAGGTTTTCCTCTGAACTGGGAAGTGAGTTGCTTAGAAGGACACTTTTCACTAGTCATAATCTTGTGAAAAACAAACAAAAAAAATCTGTATTTAGAATGGCTGTTTTTATAGATGTTGATGGTCATAAGCTCATGTCTTATTCATACTCTAACTCAAGAAATGATCAACATTTTTACCTTCTATCTTTTTTCTCTGAGGTTCAGCTTTTTTCACTTGTAAAATTAAAATAAAACAGCTACTGTACTGGATTACAAGGATTAAATTGGATAATATGTCAAATGTCAAAGCACTTAGCACAGTGTCTGACACATAAAAGACCTAGAAAATTTTAGTTATCTTTCCAGAAAAGAAAGAAAAGTGTTTCTAAGGCTATTTTCATGTATTAACCACCTAAAAAGGTCAGGCACCAAAATAAAATATATATCATTTCTGTTTAATGGCTATACCTCTTAATTTCCCTTGGAGATTTACCCAAAGCCACTTTTTTTCTGATATCATGATTCTGTTGAGATTTGAGAAGGGATTTCAGTGATTTCACAGGTAAGAATGCAATAGGCAGGAGGGGAGCCCATCTTCATGATTTTTCATAAACTTTATTCCAGATAAGCTACAGCATGTGCATTGCATCCTGCCCTAAACACGCCCTAAGTCTCTGTCCCCCTGACTGCCAGAGTCACCAATCAGCATGCAGCCCAATGCCCATCTTTGAGGAGACTGTGTTTTGAGTGGGAGACCCACTCCCAAACTCACAAATCTGATTCCATGATTCCATTGAGATTGATGTGCCTTTATACAATCTTCCTTCTCAAGGACTCATGGCATTATCATTAGAGAATTTTATCCTCATTTCTTTCTTTCTTTGGTTTGCAGAATTGAGAAGACTAATAGGAGAGAAACCATTATTTGATGTTATACAGGGAATTTAGCAAAATCCTTTCTCTAATTGGAGCAGGACTCTAATCAGAGTTCATATAGGAGGAAGTTTGATGCTACACACTGGGGCATCTCTGGTGAAGAAGAAGACCATTGTATGTACTTCTATTTTTTTCCTACTTTATTAGGATAATCACTTTTCATTACCTGCTGCCTAATTCAATGTTTCTAAAATTTAAGGCCCACATCAATCTATTTAACACAATAGCAACATTAATTAGAACATATTTCTTATTTGGTCTTGATGTTTTCTTCACAATTGTCGTATTGTGGATAATGTAGTAGGGATAATTTTGTTTTACTACCAAGACCTATAGTCCCATCATTTTTGTTGTTATTGGTGCAGATAATAAACTGCTATTAAATTCCAATATTCTAAAAGATTGCTAAAATGACAGAGCATCTGTTAGTTTGAGCTTTTTCTCCCTAGAGCAGCAATTTGAATTTTTGTAAGCTAAATTTTGCTTGGTTATTTGTGTTTGTTGAGGCAGGAGTATTTAAATCTTGATACAACTTTTTTCCCTTCATATGAAGGAATTCCCAGAGAGTTTATATTCTCTTTCTACATCCCATCTGCCCTGCCTCAGGCCTCTAAAAGGATTCTGGTAAGGAAAACTAGAATCTTCTTTACTTCATCAGAATGAGAAGAGACAAGCCTTCTGGGGGAAGAGAAAGGCTTGGCATTGATAATATTTTTCCAGTCTTTGGGCTTAAGCCCTTCCTAAAATAAATAATTCAAACTGTTAGGGATGTTTAAATAAATATCAATCCAAGGTCCAGAAAGGTGTGTGTGGTTGCTGCACTGCCAACAGCTAATTGAAGACTTGCTTATCATGAATGTATTCATGTAGGAAATAACTTGATCTGTTCACATCTTACAGAGCGTATAAGACAGCTTTGAATAAATGCACAGCTTTGAGTAAAATTTCAGACTCTCTTTGATAAGATTGAGGGGACAAATGTGAAATATTTTTATAAAAGTAGAAACACTGTAAAGACTTCAGGTACATCGCCAATGTGTTTCTGGACTTTTCTGTCAATAGCATCGCTAGAATTAATTGCTTATTTAAAGCTACACTGCTATCCCCTCAATTCACCTGCACACATGTTAAAATCACCTGTCTTGGCAGGAACAAGCAATTATTTCAAGATTGTTTGCTATACCCTGTTTAGTATAACTACTCTACTATATCGGTTAGAATATTTCCTTAGTCTTTGAATTTTGAGGAAGCCATACATCGTATTTTATTTTATCCAGAATGTCTCAAAAATGAAACATGTCATCTTCATAGTTTCTTGTTACCTCTTGAAATTTATAAAATGGAGGAATTCATAATGCCTTGGATGGAATGTGCAGCTATTGGTTTTCACTGAGGAGTTTGTAAGTACTGGTTTTACCCTCCAGTTTATTTGGGGATCTATTTTTGTTTCATATAGAGGAAAGGAGAGTGGATTCAGGCATTGGAAGAGGAATAAAATAAATTGTGATTTTTCACTTCTCAAATGTTGAATGTTTTGTATAGATTTTCAATGGTCTGCACACTCTAAGTGTTTCTCTGTCAGTTATATATCTTTTACAGTCTAATAACATAGGCCGCAGCTCTCCTCATGCAGATGCAGAACCCAGTGAGTGAAAATGCTAACCAGCCCAGGGCCAGGGGCTGAGAGGTGGGAATTAATTTCAGTCTTCAGGTTTTCTCGTATTGAACTTTACTAGATGGACAGTGCTGACCCTTGCTCCTATTAATTCACTGACCTTATGTTATTCAATAAAAGATTACTTAAGGAAATTTCTATTTGACAATTTGAGGATATTATATGACTGTCAAAAGCAAGTTATACAATTTTTCCTTCTCTAACATTTATGCTTTCTTGCAGTTTTTAAGTTTTATCTGTCAACACACATTTCACTATGTTTCTTTTGTGGGTAGGAAGCTCCTAGGATTTCCTTTACAGGGGACAAAAGGATGCATGAAACAGTTCTTTGTCAGATGAGGTTTTAGGGGGAGCTAAGGCAGTCACTCTAGAACATTAAACAGTCCCTAAGGCACTGTTTGGTTAACTACCATGGAAGTGACATAGAGAATTCATGTTACCGGTGACCCTTCAGAGGGAGGATGGTCAGTGGGCTGGAGTTATCGGCATGTGGCACGTGTCCTAGGCTTTAGAAGCAGCTGCAGTGTAGGGTAAAAAAAAAATACTAAAATGGGGCACAGCAGACCTTAGTTCTCACTTTAGACTGGACCTGAATGAGTCATAGAATCCCCCTGTGTCTCAGTTTCCTCACCTGTAGAACGAAAAGCTTGGTTATAGTTTTAGTGTCTCTCTAGACCTAAATGTAATTATTTGGGTGAGAAGGACTCCCCTGGATAAGGCGGCCTCTGCAGTGGCTGCCAGTGAGCCCCACCTCCTGTCATTTATGGCAACGTTGAAGGCATGCCACTTCAATGATTAGATCATGAAATATTGGGACTTTTCTCATGCTAGCATGGTCTGTGTGTACTTTGATAAAGCAAGTCACTATGTTGGAAAAGCCCCTAGGCAAGAAACGGAGGGCCACCTCCAGAAAAGAACAAGTGAGGAATTGAGGTCCTCAGCCCAACAGCCAACGAAGAACTGAATGCGGCCAACAATGACTGAGCGACCATGGAAGCAGATCATTCCCCGGTCGAGCCCACAGATGAGATGGCAGACCCGGAGCCAACACCTTAACTGCACCTTTGTGAGAGACCATGAAGCAGAGGACTCAACTGGCCATCTCCAGATTCCTGACCTACAGCAACTGTGATGTAATAAATGTGCGTTGTTTTAACAGGCTATGTTTTAGTATAATTTGATACTCAGCAACAGAAAATGAATACACTCATTTAATTAAAAATATTGTTCAGTATCACAAATACTGTTTACTTATTATGGAACTTTTATTACAATGTAAATAATGTAGCTGATTTTTGTTATAATGTAGATGAACAAAGGGGGCTATCTATAATGCTTCCTACTTTGAAATAATCCCTGTTAAACCTTGATAAACTTGTTAATCTTTGTTAAACTTGTTGGACCTCTCTCAGTGTGCACATGGGGTATGGTTTTGTTTCTCCATGCATTTGATGTCATCTGGCTTTTTTCTTTTTTTCCTCTCTTTTTCTCTCTCTCCCTCCCTCCCTCCCTCCCTTCCTCCCGTTGACACTGGCTGAAAAAGAACTTTTATTACTTTTATGTATGGAAAACCCAACAGCTGTACACTTAGCCCAGTTTGGTGGCCAGTTCTTTAGCCCTTGCCTTTTCCAGCTTGGCAAGGCAAGACACCGACTCTGGACCCAGGATGCTGCTTCACCAGGGACAGTGGAGCTCATCATATCTGTCATTGTCATTGGTCCTGATAGTTTCCATCTGCTTAGCCAGAGCTCCTTTGTCTTCCAAGTTCACCTGTGCAAGGGGGACAGAGGTGCAGGTCTTCCTGTGGACCCCAGCCTGGCCTTCCCCTAGATAATGCAGTAGGGAACCCCCATCTTACAACACAGGGCAGACAGGAAGACAACCAGCTCAATGGGATCCACATCATGTGAAATCACTACCAGCTGAGCCTTCTTGTTTTCCATGAAGTTAGTGACAGTATTAACCCCAGCTTGAAGAACAAGCGCCCTTTTAGTGGGGACATCCCATTTGCTGACAACTTTCTTCCCAGTTCAGGCCAAAAATTCCACTTCTTCTCTTGCTTTGTCTCTGGTCTGTGTTTGTAGACTAGCTTAAGCCCTTGAGTAACTGTTTGGCAGTCCAAGGCCTGGGCAAACTGGTTAATTGCAGGAGGAACTTTCAGACTTTCATAGGGAAGAGTCCTTTGCTACTGCAACCAGATGCAGAGAAGACATTTGACAAAGTGAGAGAAGTCCCTTTTGGGCTGTATGTCCTATCCAATGCCACAGTTTTGCGGCCTTTCCTCAAACTGGGGACTGACCACCATTTTGGCCTCTTGCTTCTTCATGACCACAGGGTCCAGGGCCACCTTCTTCCCCTTCACCTTCTTCCCTTTGGGCAGCTTCGATAGCTAGAGGAGGGAGAAAGGAAGGGGAATTATCTCTTTCAGGAATTTCTTTTTTTTTTTTTTAAGATTTCATTTATTTATTTGACAGAGAGAGACACAGCGAAAGAGGGAACACAAGCAGGGGGAATGGGAGAGGGAGAAGCAGGCTTCCCGCTGAGCAGGGAGCCTGATGTGGGACTCGATCCCAGGACCCTGGGATCAGGACCTGAGCCTAAGGCAGATGCTTAACGACTGAGCCACCCAGATGCCCCTCTTTCAGGAATTTCTTAAAATTCCTGTTCCATTGGTGGTACTTTTATAAAATGTATGGACTTTCATAAAATAAAATTATTTATGTCATTGCTTTGGGTTTAGGGTTGGTTGGAAGGCAGATCTTTGTGCTATGTCATTCATTCTTGCTGGTACTTTCTTTTCCTAAATTGCTTTTCCCTTGGGTTGACTGGCAATTCTTGTGTCCAGTTTTCTACAGCCCTTTTAGGTCTTCCTTCTCAGTTGAGGCCAGACATGGTGTTCTAGTCACCATTATTTGCTCTTTTTCTGTTCGCTTCATAAATATGAACATTTTATTTTTAGAACTTTCCTGTTCTAGATCTGTGCATTCTCAGGGTCTATCTATCCTGTAAATAAGGTTTAAGCCAGAATTTCCTGCAGTATGGCATATGAACCACTGCTGGAATGGAATGATTTTGGGGGCTCATGCTCATAGAGTTAACTAATCCTGAATCATGATGAGAACTTTATGTCCATTTAATGCTTTAATCAAGTTAGGTACAAAAGTTGAATACTGTTCTAATATGGGCTAACCACACTTGGTAATAGAGGAATACAGTTCTTTATTTTATTTTTTTTTTAAGATTTATTTATTTGAGAGAGAGAGAGTGTGAGTGTTCGAGGGGGGGAGGTGCTGAGGGAGAGAATCTTTTTTTTTTTTTTACTTTTTTATTTTTATGTTAATCACCATACATTACATCATTAGTTTTTGATGTAGTGTTCCATGATTCATTGTTTGTGCATAACACCCAGTGCCCCATGCAGAACATGCTGAGGGAGAGAATCTTTAAGCAAACTCCCCAGTGAGCTCAGAGCCCCATACGGGATGATCTCATGACTCATGAGATTATGACCTGAGTCTAAGAGTTGAATGCTGAACTGACTGAGCCACTAGGCACTCCTAGAGGAATGCAGTTTTTAAGAGCAGAACTTTTGACAAACAGGGATAGAATCTAACACTGTATTTATCTTTGTGGTTAGCTTTTACTCACGGCAAGTGATACTGATTTTCCAGTGATGGTAGTAGTATACATTTGTCCCTTAATTTATTAAAGTAAAAAAAGGGAATTTATTTAAAGAAAAACTTTAAGTAAATAATATATGTACATAATATGTGATACACAGTGCGAGCAGAACTATGAAGGTAGTAACTGTGGTATGAGAATGACTGGAATTTGAGAAATGGTACACTAGAGATCTAGAAAACCACTAATGCATCTTCATCCTCAGTTGATTTATTTAATGGTTTTCAATGAACTGAGCATGTTCTAAAAGGCACAGTATGGATGTGGATAATAAAAAAGAGTAACAGATGTTATTAGATGTAAGAGCATTGACTTGGAAATGATCTCACCTGTTTTCTCCTGATTGCCTCATGTTCTGTGCTGAAGAAATCTGTGGGTGGCTCAAAATAGTGGTTTTCAAACTTTGGGTTGGGGCATCAAATTCACATGGAATGTTTCTTAAAATATAGATTGTTCCAAAAAAAAAAAAATATAGATTGTTCCCTTGCACCTTCAGAATTTCTGATTTACTAAGGCCTGGGAATTTGCATTTCTGAGTTGCTAGATCTGGAGACTCTGCTTGGTCTAAGCTAAGCCTTGGACAAATTACTTAAAACATCTTTGGGGATCAATTTTCCAAGGGAGATTTTGGCTAAATAATATAGACTTACAGAATTTTAGAGTTTATGTGCTTATATTAAGGTGTATTAGAAAATCACAGTGCATCAAACCTGTGATTTTCCTGCTCAATAGGGGCTTAATGTGAGTCAACAAAAATTTATCAAGTAAAAAATAATATGGGTTTTTCTTAGATTGTGGTGGGGAACATGAATAATAGAATTGGGAAATGCTGATTCTTTTTTTTTTTCTTTTATATATTTTATTATTTTTTTAATTTTTTTATTCTTATGTTAATCCCCATACATTACATCATTAGTTTTAGATGACGTGTTCCATGATT